TCACTGATGAAACATATGCCCGAAACACATGTCACGCTAGACACCTTTTATTTAAATTACACCGATTTTAAGTTACACTGATTTTAAATGTTTTATCCATTAGTCAATTTAAAGAAATTTCTATTTTCGAAACATTGATGATACAATTAATGATCGAAGACCGAAAACTTGACACACAATCCGGAATGGCTCCAGACCAAAAAAATCATGGAATTTCGGGCATTTATGTTGCCAGCTAGAAGGCAAAAAGGATATCTCTGAAATTACTATTTAAATTTTCATTTTACCCGTCTGCACAAAAAATCTTATTTTTAAAAGCGTATGCAAGTTATATATATTTAATAGCGCTTTTATTTGGTGTATCTTTTATTTCATTTTCTTATGAATTAGACTATATTTTTATAACAATAATGTGCGCTTTTTGTTGCATAATAATAATAGTTTGTTCAGCTACTTTTCGTTTAAAAAATGTATCCCGGACACCTGTTACCACTGTTCGTTGTGTATTTTATAAACGGTGAACAGTCCATATGCTGATTACACTATTTTGCCTATACGGTTTTTTTAGACTTCGAATTTTGTCTAATGGTTTGGATTGTTCGTACTATTTTTATCTCTTTTTCGCGGATTTCTATGATATATCTATCTACATCCCTGTCGGCGGCAGCCAACTTCGACACAACAGTATGATAGGACATAAATAAGATATATCACATATCTTGGTTGTGTTGCCACCTTTGGCCATTAATGGATTTGTGCAAACTTTGCAGAATACTGTGGCGTGGTCTACGTCAAATGACCTAAACCCAAAGAAAGTCCAAACGGGACTGGAGGACTTTTTAGGCAGCACATCGTCGCTTGTTATTGCTTTTTTTTTTATCGTTGCTAGACGACGACATGATGGATATTTACCCCTGACGCACCAGTACGTAATAATGCTATCGTTCATACTTGTAGATGAATTTACTTCTATCAATAGAATGACAAAATAGTTAGTCGGAGTAGAATATTAAGTTTTAATATAACGATAATATGTCACCCGATTAGATTTTATTACATACTTCGAGAAGGTATTTGTTGAGTAATAAAACCTTCTAGTAGTTTATCGAGGGCTGGCCGTCCTTACCGCACGGTACAAATATTATCACCACTAGAAGCAACACATTCCAGAACAAGCCAGAACTCATACCAAAATGGCCGCTTTATACAAATGAGTATTTAGGGGAATACTAGGAGAAGTAAAAACTAAATTAGACCCAAGTTCAGTCTTTTAAAAAAAGGTCAGGGTTCGGGTTAGTTATCCCCAAAATTCTCATTTATATAAAGCGGCCATTTTGGACTCCGGAAACATCCGAACCTCGATAAACTACTAGTAGGTTTTATTACTCAACAAATACCTTCTCGAAGTATGTAATAAAATCTAATCGGGTGAATATGTAACCAGAACTAGCAGGTTCTAAAATCTACTTTTTTGAAAATTCGAACATTGTAAAATAGTGACAGTTGCGACTGGGGTAATTACTGTCCAACCTTGACCTTGCCAAACACGTTTTCCTCGCTTACGGGTTCAAGCGACGATGTATTATCATCAATATTGGGACACGATAATTATCATAATCGCGATAAACAAAAATTGTCACGATATACCGGTTTTTCGATATTTTTAAGGAAGTCCGATATGATAAATTCGCCGATTGTTTTATCACGGTGATAAAGAGACAATTGCACGTATGATCATGAGTCTTATCTTTCTCCGACGCTATATAATCAGAAGTATACTGATAGTTAGACATACGATCAGAGAGGAGGAGAGACGCAGATACGAGACGAGAGACCGGCATATGAACTCACCCAAGTTCAGCCGCTGCCTTGACAGATGGGCGGAATGTTGGATTTAATATAGTTATGTACCGTCCTGATATGTTCCTGTCGTAGTCTATTTCTTGATGTAGTTTAGTTCCTGTATATTAGTTTAAGTTACTGTATTGTTTTGTATGTAGTTGTGTTATGTTCTGCTCCGATGTAAATAAATCCTATATTTACTAAACTGATCTCTGTTATCACAAAAATAGTGTTGCAACCGGTGAAACGTGAAACACCCTTCATAAAAGGCTTCTTGTTATTAACAAATTTAAAAATCAGGTTATGCTCAAGTTACACCAACTATATGATATATATCGTTGATGTTATACATAAGAGTAGATAATTCACACGCCGTCTTCTTTATAATAATATTGTTATTGACAAACTTATTCAACAATGACGTTACTCAAGTATCTATTAAATTTTAACAAACACGGCGGCGTTAAGGAGCATAAAAGGACTGACTGTTCGTGTTAACCACTGAGGTGTTACAGACAAATAGATGTTAATACAACCGTCTTAATGCTAAGTTCCCAGTATCACGATTCGCACCAGGAAAACGAGATCAGATTCTGAAAAGCTCCAAAAGACATACCTGTAATCTGAGTGAAGTAGTTGATATACATTGCAGGTAGGACATAGTTGCACAAAGTAATGCTCACGATCATTCTATGATTCAAGTGGTCTATCATCGAAGGTCGATTATGTTCACAAGCATAGATTTGAGAGGAGTGTATACATCGCCTACGGTTTCCTCCTCTACAGTGGGGTTCCTTTACTGGACCTCCTAATGCTTCTCTGGACAAAGCTAAGACTTCCACAGAAAGCATTGACAAGTTGTAATACCATTCCATGGATGTCTAATTTAAGAACGGTAATTGTCGATTTGTTGTGCGTGCGTGTGGATTAAAGGAACTAAATTGGTAATATTTTGGATCTAGAAATTGGCACAATTGGGTCGCAACACATATAATAATATAATAGGAATTTATATAAACTGTTTTACATTCAATCGTTTCTGTTTTACTGTGAATTGTCATCAGTTATGCTCGGCGATATACGCCAGAGGACTCAACCGAAAGTCAGTTTCTAGCGTCTGGTTATTCCAGTCAACATCGATACTATTTATTGTGCATGCTCTACAAATAAGAATATGGCATTACCGTTTGATATGACATGTGGAATATATGTCTAGCCTCATTCTTTGAGCACCTTGTTACAAATTGCACTGAAACGCATTATGGTACCAATGGTAAAATGTTTATTTTGTCTGAAATATTGGATATCAGAAGCGCATCTTTTCCAGGTAAGATCACCACACCACTGCTGATTTAAATTGCATCAAAAATCGTGTTTTCAATGTCGAAGATTTTGGATGATATTGGGTTACTGACTTAGCTACTTTAAGTTTTATTTTAGTTTAATATTTTGCATAACGACCTTTTATGTAATCTGATACAATTTGTACTTAATTTGGATATATTATTTAAAGGAGCTAAATCGCTAATATTTGCGACCTAGAAATTGACAGAAATGGGTTGCAAAGAATATAATAATGTAATATCAATGTAATAAACTGATTTACATTCAATCGTTTCTGTTTTTATTGCAATTTCTAATCAGTTATGTTCGGCGAAATACGCCAGAAGTCTCATGTGAATGGCAATCTTTAGCGTCTGGTTTTTCCAGTCTACACCGATGGTATTTATTGCGCATGCTCTCCAGATAAGAATAGAGCGTCACCATTTGACATGACTTTTGGAATATGTCTAGCCCTGTTCTTTGAGTCACTTGTTCCAAATGGCGCTGAAACGCATTACGGTACACGATTCGTGTACCAATGGTAAAATGTTTTTTTTTGTCTTTAATATTGGATATCAGAACCCCATCTTTTCCCTGTAAGATCACAAGACCAATGTTGATTTGAATTGACAAATAATTCGTGTTTTCAATGTCGGAAGATATTGAGTTGGAGACTTAGCTACTTTAAGATAGTCGTGTCTTATGGGATCAATCTGTTTCACAGAGTATTACGAAAGTATTCTAATATTTCGGTAAAAGATGACTGTCTTCAACACATGACGTCATATCACGCGGCGTCAATTATTGGCTCAATGGCGCGTGTATTGTTTACTTAAAACGTTACTGATTCGAGCAGAATGGCGCCTTTTACTCATTTTAATACCCATTTACACTTCAATAAAAAAAAAATTTTACCTACAAATACTTCAAACGTCTTTATTTTTCTAATACATAAAAAAAATGTTTTAGAATTTAATTTGTCGGAGGAAAAAAGTTAATATTTGTGGTTCATTAAGTCGCATCGATGTCATCCTTATCAGTGATTGTCGCGGCCTAGCGAATATTCACTGCGGATCAGTGTGGGTTAAGACATATTTAAAGGGGCATTATGGGAGATTAGATAAAGAGTTGACAGTTCTCGTTATATAATAGTTAAACAATAGATATTGTAAATAGAATATGCTGAAAATTTCAGCCAACTTGCTTCAATCCGAACCGAGCTATTAACAATTGAATTTTAGGCCTAGCCTCGATCATCATTACTAGAGTCGGTACATAAAAAACAAAGTCTCAATTTAACGTTTAATTATTTTGGGATAACAAATGGACATCTTGCGGTTACGATTGGGCGGATGCACGCAACAGAATTGTTTTTGAAATGTTTATATCATATACGGATAAATGTATTTTTGCCAACAGTCAATCTTGTCCCATATCACCCCTAGTATATTTATTTACTTTTGCTTTTAAATTTTAGTTCTAGTACTTTGTAGCCGTGAACTTGACACCCCTTATCACCCCTAGTATATTTATTTATTTTTGCTTTTAAATTTTAGTTCTAGTACTTTGTAGCCGTGAACTTGAGAGAGAGAGAGAAATGGGGTTTAACGTCTACTCGCGCGTAGGGGTCGTTAGTAGGACCTGGAGAAAACCCACAAGGTTGGAGAGGCGAACCCACTTCTTGTCACGTACAACCGGGGAATCGAAACCACGCCAGTTGACAGAAAATAATGCTCGAGTTGATGCCCCCCCCCCCCCAATGACCAAGGGGCAATAACTTGAAAATCGCATTCCAAATATGGCAGTCATTTAATATCAATTTTGTTTTTCTTCAGACTCTTCGAGATGCTGTACGACGATGTTTTAAAGTTGATTGGAGAGTTTGGGCGATACCAGAAAATTCTGAGTATTCCTGTGTGTATCGAACCCCTATCTTTAGCTTTGATGGTAATGGTGACGGTATTTTCCTTAGCTACTCCGCCACACAGGTACCTGAGAATTCTATGTGCACCACGAATAATATATACAAGATTGTTGTAGCAAACAGCAAAAACGTAAAAAAATTGTTACATTAAAGAAGCTATGGCAATTTGAAAATACGCTGTCTTATTTGAATGCTAATAAGCTGCGAGCCGTTGTACTCACCCAAGCTAGTGCAGGTAACAGTCACCTGCCCCTATTAAACAGCCCAAATTTATATCCAGTAGGGTCAATGTAATGAAAAAAAATGGGTCAACCGCCAAAAATGGTCGTAAAATGAAAGCTTAAGCGTAAAAACATATGTATACAGTCAGTCGTTCTTTTGAACAGCAAATAACGTGTTATATTTGGTCTTCCGTTCTACTCCATTAACCCCTGGTCCCATTCACGGGATAGTCAACAATTTAGGTTATCTGCCCTTGTTGTTTTGGGTCCCGTAGGTTAATGCTACGTACCAATCAACAAACAGTTTACAAGCCAGTCTTAGCGTCACTATATACGTTCAAGACAATATGACGGCTTGTTCCCTCGATTATGAGAAGGTTGGCGAGAAATTTATTATCCATTAAGTAATATTCATACAAAACGACGCCCTTATCATTTTGACAAATCGTACAACAATGAGTTTTATGCAACCAGGTACGAGTTACTTCCCTTCATTCACTTTATTTGATTGGTCGTTAAAAATATCGCAATCACCAAGGACGAATAATTTGAATATGTGTCTCCCCGTGAATGGACCCAGAGGTTAGTGGGGTAGAGCAGAACGATATTCTACCACCCGGAGATGACAGCGCACAGTCTTTTCTATAAGGTTCCAGTCAAGGATTGGCAAAAATTATGAAATTGACAAAAATTATGAAATCGTACAATATTGATAAAAGCGGTGTAATACCGACATGGATAAATGTGAGGTCCTGTCCCATTGTAGAGAGAATAACTAAGACAGGTTTAATAACCAATAGTTTCGCCATATTTCCCCAGTTCAATAAGAAGCCAACAGGTGGTCGTGGGGGTGGCCTTGTCGTCTGGAGTGTCCCGCTTCGAGCTGGCCGGTCACCTCTAGCTTGGGGTCTTTGTTTCGATCAGTGGTGTGAGCATATGTGGCCTAGAGATAGGGGCGCCTTCTCAACCTCGTGTGTTTACTCCGGATATTCTGCCCTGCCACAGCAATGACCCCTGCGCGTGCGCTAACATAATAAAAAGAAAATAAGACAACTTGTCTGCGATATCATCCTCGGTGGATGCGGACGTTAAACACTAAGAACAACAACAACAGGCCTGTAAAAAAAAATCGGTGTGGAGTCACTGCTCTAAAACATATTTTTACACGGTGTTGTTTTATGCAATAGCAAAAGAGATTTGTACTAAATATTAAAGGAATATTTCAAATTCTGCAGGTGTAAATTACCAGGATTTGAAAACGACACTTACCATCAACAAAGCGATTACCATGGCAACCTTATAAACCAATCCATACCACAATCTTCTAGCTGTCTACTACGTAATACTACAGTTGATAAATATGGTAATATGACGTCAGTGGAATATAAATGTGGTTCTTGGGTTTATGATACTTCTACGTACATGTCAACTCTAGTTACTGAGGTAGGTACTATAATACTATATCTAATACCTTCGAGGGGGAAGGGGTGGATTTATGAATGGTGTGCGTGTTCTTCATAAGGTCTGTCATTGAGTCAACTGGCGTTGTTTCGATACCCCGGTTGTACATGGTAAGAAGTAGGTTCGCCTGTCCAACCTCGTGGGTTTTCTCCAGAAACTATATAAAAAGAACGGATTTATAAACTCGGCAGTTTTGTCACAGCCGGCAATTTTACTACACTATGATCTGGAAGAGTTGTTATATAACGCGCGTTCTGGATGATGTGAGGGATTAGCCAATGAAACGGTCTGTTACGGCGAGTTTTTGCTGTGAGGTGCACGGAACTGTGAGTCACCCACTAGACACATCCACGCCGATTGGTTAATCAAAAGTATAAAGTATTTTAATCAGATTGCAAAAATAATGTCATATTTTACTTTAGTTTAATATGGTTTGCGACGATGATATTTTAAGAAATAATGCTATTATGATCACGTTCCTGGGACTGGTATTCAGTTGCTCTATAATAAGTAACTTTGCTGATCGGTAAGTATTGATAATGTCGGATAATACATCTATATATCCGCCCATAATTTATGTGACGGACTGCATTCACCTGCAGGGGGGTTGGATGGCCGAATCGTTAGCAAGTGCGCGCTGTATCATAGGGCCTGTCATAGAGTCAACTGGCGTGGTTTCGAATCCCCAGTTGTACGTGACAAGAAGGATCGCCTCTCCAACCTCGTAGGTTTTCTCCGGGTCCTACGGTTTCACACCACTGCTAAAAACCCCTACGCGCAAGCAGATTATTGAAATAAAATTAAACCATATGTTAGTCCCGAAATAACCTAGTTTGTGTCGAGTGGACGTTAAACCCCATTTCTCTCCCTCTCATCTATTTATAGCGGTTACCCCTCCACCCTTTGCATTGGGTTTTGTCTTTACTTTTTGGTTTTGAAGAAAAGTGTTTCAATTTACATTTTCAATGTTTGGGCGGACGGATCGGAAAGAAAACATACGCGAATTAGTGAAATCAAAATGGTGCCAAAATATCAGTACAACAAACAAACGTCATCGGCCATTCAATATTTGTATCAGGTGATTGGAACATGATGGACTGTTTATGGTTGTAAAGATTAAAATCACTGGAAAGAAACGTAACAAACTCTGCGTGTTGGGGTGTTCAAACGTGTTGGGGTAGTTTGACTTGTGCTGATGATGAATGATAAAGAATTTCAGACGTATATTGCATATCCAAATCACGCATAGGTATTTCACCTGAACACTGTCGTCTTCATTAGCCCCGTCTGTGCATACAGTTGCTGCTGGTGGGCGTATATTCGGTGTCTGGCAACGATTTGTTCTAATATAAAAAATGGTGGCACATGTTAAAAAATCTGTGTTCGTCGAGACTCCTTGCTTCAAAAGACAATTTTTTTTTTTTTGTTTTTTTGTTATAGATTCGGTCGTTATCCAGTAATGGTCATTTCTAACGTCTTGGTTGTCACTTCTGCTTATTTACTGGTTTGGACACCGAATTATATTTTCTTGGTGATTGTCAGATTTTTTGTCGGAATAGGATTGGGTGGGCAATTAATAGCTATCTTTACTATTGGTAAGTTACCGTTTTATACGCTAACATTTTCATGTGGACGTATATTGTCGTAGCCCCTGTCCGCCCGTCCGTCCATCCACAATTCGCTGGTGATCACTCTACGGGTCACAATTTTTACCAGATTTTGCCGAAACTTAAAATATAGTATTATCTAGAAAGGCCCCCTGTTTCTTTCCATATTGGCATGTATCGGACCGTTACTTCATGGATTATGCCCCCTGATTGTACGAAAAATCACCTATTTAGCCCGCTGACACTCGAGGGGTTACAATCTTTATCCGATTTTGATTAAACTTGAAATATATGTTTATCGCGTTTTTAGCTTGTGGACCCTCTTGAGGTAACAATTTTTATCCGATTTAAAAAAAACAAACATTCTAATATATAACTTTTTTACCATTTATGAGTTCGAATTACGTGAACATCGGACCGACAATTCCCGACAAAATGGCCGCTCCTCGTACGTAAATAGTGTAAAATTATAGTATTCCAAGGTTGTGGACACTCTAACAGGTCACAATTTTTATCATATGTTTATATTACAAAGATCCCAGCTCCTTTACATCTCGTGACCTTGGAGAAATCTGCAGGTGGCCTTCTGAAATAGATCTGACGATGTTTATATCCCAACGATCTGGGTTCCTTTCTATATTCGCGCATATCGGATCGTAACGTCCTGAATTATGGCCACTGAGTGTACGAAAAATCGCGTTTTTAGCTTGTGGACCCTCTACAGGTCACAATTACTATCTGATTTTGATGAAACTTTTAATATTTGTTTCTATCCCAAAGATATGGGTGCCAGTCGTTACTTCGGACCGTAATTTCCTGGATTATGACCCATGATTATACGAAAAATCGCTTTTTTATTTAGCGCGCTCTCTGTCCATCTCTTGTAAAATGTGGACTATCTTGCATGGCAATGACTTGTAGTTACTTTTGGTGAGTGTATTTGTAGGTTTGGGATGAATTCGGTAAAGATAAATTTCGATCTTCGTTATATACCATATGAAGCATGAATCAGGTTTATTCTGGATTCGAGCGGGGGGGGGGGGCTGAATGGTTAGGACGTGCGCGCTGTATCATTAAGTCTGTCATTGAGTCAACTGGCGTGGTTTCGATTTCCCGGTTGTACGTGACAAGGAGTAGGATCGCCTGTCCAACCTCGTGGGTTTTCTCCGGGTCCTCCGGTTTCCTCCCACTGCTTAAGAACCATACGCGCAAGCGAATTATTGAAATAAAATTGAACCATATGTTAGTCCCGAAACGACCTAGTTTGTGACGAGTGGACGTAAAACATCTCTCTCTCTCTCTCTCTCTCTCTCTCTCTCTCTCTTCTGGATTCGAGATGTTGGCACTAAAATAAAAAAAAATAATAAGTCAATTCTCTTGCATTGTTTGGTAATTTATTTGATAGAATAAAACATCTCATATTTCGTAACTCAATCATGAGTTCAAGGTCCCAATCCAATAACATTACCTGAATATTTCTAAGAATGTGCCGACTTCAAGTAGTCAACTGGGGTATAAGATTCTGGTCTATTGTCACTGCATACGGGCACAATCATAGGGGTTAAAATTTTAATGTCAGATGACTGCTGTGTACTTTTATTTTTTATTTTTAAAAAAAAAAAACAATTCCTTTTAGGAGTGGAGATTGTTGGACCTTCTAAAAGACGTTTTACTGGAGTTTTATTTCACCTCGGATGGTGTTTGGGTGTTTTAGTTATAGCAATGTTGGGCTATTGTATAAGAAATTGGAGATACTTACAGCTAGCTGCAGCCGTCTTGACGTCCCATCACTTATTCTATTTCTTGTATGTACCTAGGGCTAAATCTATTTGTTAAGGCCAGTTCTATTTTTGTCAAGGTCGCGGAGAAAGATTAAGGTTAGGGCACGTGATTGTTGGCGAGATTGTACGTTGGAGTTAAGGTAAGTATTGGGTTCAGGTCCAGGGTTAAGGTTAGGATTTGGATTAGCTCTAGCCCTGTTTACAACGCCTGATTCACTTTATTGACAATATTTGCAGATAAACGAAAGCTGTTTCACTAGATTGGGCTGCGTGTGTTTAATAAGTTTTCTTAGAATAAAATTAACCTATTTTTAAGATGTTTCATGCATTAGGAACCAGGTGAAACTAAAGGCACCCATGTGCTGATGTGCTTGTTTTTAGCTACGTTCTCGTCGCTAGTATGTACCTTACAACGTTATAGATTGGTTGATGACCACAAATGTCTGATATTTCGTTGCCAGTGTCTCCATTGTCTGGCATTAACATATAGAGTTCACAATTATTTAACGTATATTTTTATAAAGTTCGTCGTCTAACCAACGAAATGTGTCGCCTTTAAATACATATATATGTACAGATTTTACGTCATATCTATGTAAATAATTATTTTAATTATTCTTTTTGTTTCGGGATGCCTGCGTATTGAGATTTCGATATCTTTGGCTATAATAGCATGTTGATGCTATTCAAAAATACATAGTGGCCTAAGCAGAGGTAATTGCCCTCTCGCCTATCCATGCCCAACCTGACAGATACTGAACCATATTTAAAAATTATGATACCCTAATGTGAAACTCTCCCGTTTTGAAAAGCGACACTACATGTTCAAAAGACTGTGTGACGGTGAGCATTAATTCGTCATTTCTAAGCATACTGTGTTGTTATTTTAAAGAATGTTACCTGAAAGTCCACGATGGTTATTAACACGAGGTCAACTTGATAAGGCAAGAACATTAATCAAAAAGGCAGCCGATATCAATAAAACGATTATAACTGATGATGTATTATTAAAATTAAGAGTATCAGAAACGCCCGCAACAGCAAAATTTTGGAAACTTTGCTCAACAAGAAAATTGACAGCAAGAACACTTGCAATTTATTTCGTGTGGTAAGTGAAACAAAAAACAAGTTCTCAGTTTTTTGTAGCCCACAAATACAGTATGGTCAGTACGTATATTTAAAAATACTGATCCATGAGTGGATATCTTTCATTGGGTAAATATTAGAAATCATTCCACTACTGTTGTCTTCCGTCGTGCTCCAGCCACACCAGTGGATCGTTCTAAGACCTTCGTTTGAGCAGGTTTTGCCATGATTTGATGACAACTCCCTGAATTACCAATTAAACTGACGCCAAACTGTAATGTACAACCGCATAATTATATGATTTGATGAAACCCAATTGCTACGCGAAATTTCTCTCCTATCCAACTGAAAATGTCCGCCCAGTCAGAATTAGACACGCACGTGACATGTATACCTATTAACTTATAATGTGTCGTTTGACCTTTTGTTCAAAAGCGTTTCAATAAACCGGGGGAGGGTGTGGGGGGTGAAGGCCGAACCGCTTAGCGCCTATGCGCTGTATCATAAGATCTGTCATTGAGCCAACTGACGTGGTTTTGATTCCCCGGTTGTACGTGACAAGGAGTAGGGTCGCGCCTGTCCAATCTCGTGGGTCTTCTCTGGGTCATCCGGTTTCCTCCCACAGCTTATGAACCCTACCCTCAAGCGAATAATTGAAATAAAATTGGACCATATATGTTAGTCCCGAAATAGCCTAGTTTGTGTCCAGTGAACATTGAACTCTCTCTCTCTCTTTCTCCCTCCCTCTCTTAAACAGGGTTGTTTTTCAAGATATTGCAGCCCTTTAAGATCTTCTATATAACTGAATGTATATATTTGCAGGTTTTCTGTGAGTGTCACGTATTTCGGTATAATGCTAAACTTGGAGTTTTTGGTGGGAAATATATACTTGAATCTATCACTAACAGCCGTCATTGAAGTAATCTGTTATATATTTGTTATGTTAATGGTAGATAAGTCAGGAAGAAAGAAACTGATTTGTGGATGTTATTCTCTACAGATTCTATCATTAATAGCAGTCATATTTATACTGTTATACGTACCACCAGGTAAATATTTATAAAAACGAAAGTAAATATTATAAGTAACCAATCTTAGTAAAACACATGTCCTATTTCGTTTGTTTTTTATAGTTCAAAATTTCGTTTTACTCGTCTTTCTACTAGGATCTGGAAGAGTTGTTATACAACCCGCGTTCTGGATGATGTTAGGTATTAGCCAATGTAACGGTCTGTTACAGTGAGTTTTTGGTGTGAGGTGCATAGAACTTTGAGTAAACTACTAGAAACGTCAACACTGATTGGTTAATCAAATGTCTAAAGTCATAGATTAAAAGCCGTTCGTATGACCTCTGACGCGACCTTACAAAACAACTGGTCAGATGTTCATGCAGTGTAGGCCATCGAAAGTATAAAAAAACGAAACGAAATATAGATTTGTATTTTAATCAGATTGTTCTGAGATATTTTTTCTTAGATCTGAATTGGTTGATGACGGTATTTACTTTGATTGGTCAATGTGGAACTATATGTAGTTTTGCTATAGTTTGGTTGTGGACAAGTGAACTTTTCCCGACAGAATTAAGAAATGTTGGAACCGGTACCGGTTCCGCTTCAGCACGTGTAGGAGCTCTGGTTGCACCTTATTTGGAATTATTGGTAAGTCGGGCTTATATCTAGTCTCGGTCACCCAGAACATCCTAGTCTTCAACGTAGGGTCTGTGACCCTTGTAAATATTTGACGAAAAGCCCATTGCCCGTGCGTAACCGGGGGTTTGGGTTTTAATGTGGTTGATTATCCAGCATCTTCTGGCCAAGTCAAGTAAGAGTTGCACATCTTCCCGCAATAAATCCCATAATTCTTGCATTAATATAAACAAACATGATAACTAATTAGGATTAATTTAAAAAACATAGATATGGTCCATGAAGAGAGAAAATTTTACAATAAAAAATTACGAAAGTTGGATATTGAACTGGCATGCAATCAAATGGATTATTTAAAATGGGCGTCAACATCTGTTTTAGTACTAGTTACCTCCCCTAGACTTTGTTTACGATAATGTGGCAATGGCCTATTTTTTCTCAAATGTTGACAACGCGTCCAGAACAATATTCGTAGAATATTTTCCTGGATGATAAAGACTAGCTTACATCATGATTTCAAGTGTGGGTCATATTTAGCAATTTATCTTTTAATTATATAATATTGAATTACCCGTTCACAGGTTTGTGGGATGCATCATTAATGCATAGCGAGCCACGGTGGCTAAGTTGGTTTGACGCTGGCTCGCTAGCCTGGAGGTCACGTGTTCGATCCCTGCATTGGCCGAGAAAGTTCATCGGTATTTTCCGGCATGGGTTCCCCTTGTCACTGGTGCAGGACGAAGGGCCTGACAAAGACAACTGTCTAGACGTTCTGATAGGACGAAAAATTGAGGTGCCGTGTATACATTGGCGTGAACGTAAAAGATCCCTTGGCAGTTGGAATTCGATATAAGAGTAGGTCATAGTGTCGCTGCCCTGGCAAAAGTTCCCTCATAGTACACTGTATGGCGTATACCCGTCGTCATTAGCCTAGTCAGTGCAGAACAGTAGGACGTTAAACCCCATTTCATTTCTATATTCTATATATTCATTTTTGTAAACTTAATGACAACACTTACCTTTTGGTTTCATTTTACAAATTTCAGAGTAAATTAGTTCCTGGGAGATTTAAAGAGGTTTCGCCATTTGTATTTTTTGGCATTATTTGTATGGTTTGCTTAGTCCTTATCGTCTGTGTTTTACCGGAAACAAACAAACAAAAACTACCAGATACTGTGGATGATGCGGGCCGATTGGAACATAGGTAAGATAATTTTACGTGTGTTACTAAAAACTTTATTGCTGCGTTTTACAAACGCTTTCATCTTTAATCATATTGTTTGTTCGTGGGGCAGGGGGTGGGGTTGGGGTGGATGGCCGAATAGTAAGCGCGTGCGCGCTGTATCATAAGGTCTGTCATTGAGTCAACTGGCGCGGTTTCGATTCCCCGGTTGTACGTGACAAGGAGTAGGGTCGCTTGTGGGTTTTCTCCGGGTTCTCCAGTTTCCTCCAACTGCTAAAGACCCCTACGTGCAAGCGAATTATTGAAATAAAATTGAACCATATGCTAGTCCCGAAATGACCTAGGTTTGTGTCGCGTGGACGCTAGTCCCCTCCCCCCTCTCTCTCTCTCTCTCTCTCTCTCTCTCTCTCTTTCTTCCAGGTATCACAGGGCAAATGATACGATAAACTCATTCATATTCCGAAAAAATTCATTCATATCGTATTTAGATATATGAACTGACCGACGGACACAGGTGGCCACAACACTGAAATGTGAATGACTATAGATAATATGTCAAATTGACATTATGTACTTGTATATTTTTGTAGGTCTGGAGAAACAAGAGATAAAGATGAAACAGTTGAAATGCTTGGTACAAATTCTAAATGCTGACATCCAAAGATATATGTTTATTTGGGAGACATTTCTGATCCTTATTTTTACCACTTTATGGGAAACCGTTCGGCTCTTTATATGTGTAGTTCAAAATTCCCCTCACAGAAATTTTGCTTTTTATAGTACAGCTGTATATACATATATATACATGTTATAGTAGTAGGTACATATTCGGACGAAACTTTACAATTAGTCTGGGTGTCTTGGTTTTTAGGTGCCTTGTTTTTTCTGTAAATTTATAAGTAGTGTCTATAAAATATTTAAGAACTTTATGTGCTAATTCAGTATTTAAAGCACAACCATAGTGATAATTTATTTAGTTACTAATAAAAATTCACCACTTGCGATGTGCCTATTTTTATATGCCCACGCCCATTTCGTTTATATTATTTGGCGACAGATCACTAATGATTTCCCCATTGACTTTAATGTTAATTCTCGTCTCTTAGACCGGCTCTAACTTTTTCCCAAATTTACGTTCGGTAGATGGAGCAACATGTGGCACACTCTTGCCCAAAATCATGCATGAGGTTCACCATGAAACACTTCAGATACACAAGCTGGAAGTAGAGACAGGTAAACATGCAATTTTCGGCCCTACATTTCAACCTAACCAACCTTTCAACTCTTGTATCCTTCCGCCTCAAAATCATGAATATTCACAAAAACCTGACAGAAAATGTACGTTCATGGATAATATGTAGTGACGATCGCCAAACAAATAGGGATAATGCGACTTGATGATCGGGATTATTTATTTCCGGCGTATCATGGATGATATGCAAAGAAATAGGAAGTAAAACACAGTTGTTAAAGGGAAAGTAGTTTATTTAGAGGCAATAATGGATTAGAAAATAATAATTTTAATTTGGAGAAATTAATGGTTATCAATTCACCTGTAAAAGAAAAAAAATAAAAATAAGGTAAAAATGTAAAGAATAGAAGAGAGAGAGAGAGAAATGGGGTTTAACGTCCACTCGACACAAACTAGGTCATTTCGGGACTAACATATGGTTTAATTTTATTTCAATAATTCGCTTGCGCGTAGGGGTCTTTAGCAGTGGGAGGAAACCGGAGGACCCGGAGAAAACCCACGAGGCTGGACAGGCGACCCTACTCCTTGCCACGTACAACCGGGGATTCGAAACCACGCCAGTCGACTCAATGACAGACTTTATGATACAGCGCGCGCATGCTAACCATTCAGCCATCCAACCCCCCGTAAAGAATAGAAACCAGACGTTCAAAACAAAGAATCTATATAATGGCAAATGATAACCAAGAATTCAAAATAATTAAGAACAGTTTTAAAATTTGTCAACTGTAAATTTTTTAATAAATTTGTATATTTGGAATCGCAGCTAATCAAGAATTCAAAATCGTCAATAACTAAGAATAGCTTTAACAGTTTTTCAACTATGCAATTTTGTATTAATTTGCATTTTTATACGCCCACATTTTCATGTGTAAGTATTATCCCGTCGCCCCTGTCCGTCCGGATGTCCGTGGGTTTTTCTGTCCGCGTGTCCGTCCACATTTGTTGTGGAAACTCCGATTTTGATGAAACTTAACATAAATGTTCACATTCCAAAGAACTTAGATGGGATTGATTTTTGCAAGTACTTCGTCGATTATTGTCCCTGAATGGACGAACAATCGCATTTTTGTAGCTTGTGGTCGCTCTAGTGGTCACACGTATTTTCCCGATGTCACGAAACCATAAATATGTTAGATCCCAAAAACCTGAGTTGGGTTTGATTTTGGCACTCAAGAGTTACGCCCTTTAGCTTAGACTTGGCGAATGCCCAATTTTTTAACATTTGGAACAACATTATCGATATCCAGCATCACACAATATTCCGTTCCAGAATTACCCCCCCCCCCCTTTGTTGAAAACCACCTGGACTTAACAAACGTTGCGTTTTTAACAGATGTATTTCAGATTTAGTGAGTAGCATTGGGGTCGTGAGATGACGAAACCTATCGATATTTAGCAATCCGTGACATTCCGTTCCGAAGTTACCCACATTTTCTGTGAACGCGATAGAGACTACAGTTTTTAACAGATTCATTTACATTTCGTTGTGAAGTATTGGAACAATAAGCGGATGGAGCCTATTGGTTTCTCTGTTCATCAATTACAATATGGGCGTATCTTGTATTGCAACCGCTTGTTAGAATCAAGGCTCACCACGAATTCAAAATAGTCAATCGCCGGTTCTAATTCGAAGTGAAGCATCAATTGGGACAATGAGAGAATGAACCCGATTGATTTTCACTGTTCACCATCCATCTATTGCAAAATATTGGCTTATCTTACATGTAACGACTTCTTAGAATCGAGACTTACCAAAAATTCAAAATAGCCTGAAAACTTTGTGAACTGTAAAATTGGGAATTAAATTGACGTGATCCACAATGTCGGCTTCCGATACTTTATAATACTTACATTGTTTGTATGCTAACACGTAACTTTGTTTTCATTCACAAAGAACTGTGCTGTACAGGCCTCGCTTCCACAAAAATTCGTCCTATAAGAAAAATTTAAAAAATAACATTTGATTTCTGTCACTGTTAAAAATTACTTTGGAATGGCTTATTCCCGCGACCCCTATTTAGCCCCAGTGACCCTTTGATCTTAAGGATTTTAGATAAATGAAATGAAATGGGGTTTAACGTCCTACTGTTCTGTTACGACTGGGCTAATGAAGACGGACATACGACATATAGTGTGCTATGAGGGAAATTTTTCCCGGGTAGCGGCACTATCGTCTACTCTTATATCGAATTCCAACTGCCAAGGAATCTTTTACGTACACGCGTTATAGGGCGCATTTCCTGACTGCCCTCTGATTCTTTGATTACCCTACGAAACCATTTTAATCTTTTATGCATTTGGAGAGAGAGGGAGAAATGGGGTTTAATGTCCACTCGACACAAACTAGGCCATTTCGGAACTAACAAATGGTTTAATTTTATTTCAATAATTCGCTTGCGCGTAGGGGTCTTTAGCAGTGGGAGGAAACTGGGGGACCCGGGGAAACCCCACGAGGTTGGACAGGCGACCCTACTCCTTGTCACGTACAACCGGGGTTTCAAAACCACGCCAGTTGACTCAATGACAGGCCTTATGATACAGCACGCACGTGCTAACCATTCGGCCATCCGACCCCCCTTATGCATTTGGAGTTGGGTGGTTGAATGGTTTAACGCGTGCGCGTTAGACCACAGGGTCTGTCATTGAGTCAAGTGGCGCGGTTTTCCCTCTTGTACGTGACAATGAGTAGGGTTGCCTGTCCGACCATGTGGATTTTCTCCGTGTCCTCCGGTTTCCCCCCACTTCTAAAGACGCCTACGCACACGCGAATTATAGAAATAAAATTGAACCATATGTTAGTCCCGAATTGACTTAGTTTTTGTCGAGTGGACGTTAAACTCCACTTCTTTCTCTCTCACGCCAATGTAATCTAAAACGCGCACTTTAAACCATTCGGCCACTTAAACCCCGTTTGTTAAAAATAAACTTACACACCACCCGGGGGGATCACGTGGCTAAGTGGGTAAGACGCTGGCTAGCTAGCCTGGAGGTCGGGTGTTCGATCCCTGCATTGGCCGAGAAAGTTCATCCCGATTTTCCGGCGTGGTTTCCCCTTGTCAGAGATGCAGGACGGAGGGCCTGACAAGGACAGCTGTCTAGTCGTTCGGATGGGACGAAAAACCGAGGTCCCGTGTACACATTGGAGTGCACGTAAAAGATCCCTTGGCAGATGGAATTCGATATAAGAGTAGGCCGCATGCCCGTCTTCATTAGCCCAGGTTAGGAGCAGAACAGTAGGACGTTAAACTCCATTTCATTTCATTTCATTTCACACCAGCCGGCACTTTAAACCATATTCGGCCACTTATCCCCACCCCACCCCATCCCCCCTTAATAAAAATAAACTTACACACAATCTGCACCTGGATAAGTAAAACAAGTAGCTGTTATACATGGATCATTATTACAAACGGTCATCTCTGATCCATCTGGGCAGGTTTCACCTTTACTTACTGTATATAGCAAAATATAAATAGCAATTAATCCATTATACACCACTTAATTAAAGGCTCAATACCACTCTTGTTGTAACTGAATAATATGTCCCAATCTTTATTCAGGTCAACAAATTGTACTATTTTACAATATTCCAATTACTTTATGATACAATTTTCATCTTAACACACCTAATTTAAAAAATTGGAAAAATTCAACTAAATGATTTGAAAAGCCTGACGTAAAGCTTTTCAAATGTTACTTGGATTTAAAAATATTTTTGAACCCTCTGGACAAGTAAAATAGGATTTAATGGATAATTTACAAAACAGGTAGTACACTAACACATCTAGTGCTTAGAATAAGGCTATTTTTTATTTTCTGGAGCTCTCAAGCCAGCAAGAGTGTTATTGTCCCTTTAATATTTGATCAAAATAAAGAGTCTTATATCCGCAGACTGGAAATTGTATTAAAACTTATTATCATGTATTTATTAAACTAATACGCGAACAGTTCCGGATTAAGCAAACTAAGCACGACACGTGTTTAGGGCAACCGGGAAGCGGAGTACTGTAGAAGTTTTCTCTCCGGGTAATTGTTCTTTGATGTAAGCCTGCAATTTAAGCAGGGTCCGCAAAAGGCGTCTGGCATCATTGGACAATATCCGGGATATAACAACCAGGCAATTGAGACAGCCTATTTTAATATCAGCTTATGTAAATTTTGTTCGATTTCGAAAGATTACAAATTACAGTATTTTTTTTTTCTTTCATTTTGAATAACATATATATGGGGTACCATAAACATATCAGTATTTGTCTCCCGTCTCCATTCGATGTGGTGATGATCAAGAATTCATTAAACATACATTATGCAAGAGCTAAATCTGCCCACTGCAGGTCTTTCTTTAGGCCTGAAATGTTATCTAAATTATTAAACATGCATTATTCAAGAGCTAAATCTGACTATTGCAGGTCTTTCGTTAGGCCTGAAATATTATACATTAATTAACATATACAGACCATAATCAACTCTCGATGCGTCACTAGCCTACAATGTTTATTGGATTAGGTTCCAATTTGCTGTTCGACTTCCATTCATAATTTAATCATGAAATGGATAATCGAGACTAAGTTTTTTATCTTACCGACTTTAGTAATGATGATCGAGATTAGGCCAAAAATTCAGTCGCTAAAATCTCGGTTCATAGTGGATCAATTTGACTGAATTTTTTAGCAAATTGCCTTTACAGTATCTAGTTTTTAACTATTATAGTGAGAACTGCCAACTCGTTATCGAATCTCCCATAATGTATCTTTAACCCTTGTCGGTGCACGTGGGGTCTCCGTGGACCACATGCACATGTTTTATAGTGTTTTGTAATAACTACTGGGCACTGCTTTTTGAAATTTAGTGACTTTGTCTCCTAAACATTTTTACACGTAGCGAAGAGTTCGGTATTCATCTGCTTCCCACGTGCAGAGTTATGTTACATGCAAATCAGGCCCAACGCTTGAAGGGAACAAGGGGTCCAATCGGACCCCTAACTTACAACTCACAGTAGGGATTTTGCTAATGTTTTTGCTGCCTGATACCATATTGCGTATGCCAGAGTATTCTCTCTTTTAACATCTGCATGTTACATATACCAAAAATTAAATGATGAATTCCAAATATTCAATGGTTTTTGTATCAAGCGTGAATTGCCATTTAACCTCTTTATCACATAGTACACAAAGCAGCAATTTTGTGAGAATTATTAAATCTTTTCCAAATGTCACTAAAATGTTTTTGTATAATAATTTAGTTGTTTTTCAGTTGTCAAATATGAATACAAATAAAAACTAAACCGCTGCCTTTTAATTCAAATATATCTGTACGTAAAAACTTTGAATTATAACTGGGGTCCATATGGACCCCTTTGATACCTGCTATGTGATTCTCACAACGTGCACCGACAAGGATCTTCCATGACAGGATTATAAGACAACAGGTTGTCGTGCGCACTAAACAAACCTTGGCAGTTGGAATTCGAAATACGAGTAGACCGTAATGACCCCTTCCGGTGCTAAATATATCACATAGCACACTGTATGACATAAGTTTGTCTTCCATTTAGCCCAGTCGGTACAGAAAAGTTGAACGTTAAACCCCATTTGATTTCATTTATATTAGATATTAGCTATCGGCATACCCCATGCAGTGTGCTATGAGTGTGCCAGACAGCGGCACTATGGCCCACTCTTATATCGAATTCCAACTGCCAAGGAATCTTTTACGTGTACGGCAATGTATACAAGAGATCTCGGTATTTTGTCCCATCCGAACGACTAGACAGCTCTGCCTCCTACTGACAAGGAGATACCAGGTCGGAAAATCGCGATGAACTTTCTCGGCCAATGCAGGGATCGAACACATGACCTCCAGGCTAGTGAGCCAGCGTCTTATCCATTAAGCCACTATGGCTCCCTTCCAGTATTATAATTTTAAAATAAACTTACCAGCAAATAAAGCAAGTGCAACAAATAAAATCTTCATCAACATCTTGAATCGATCACAATAACTGTATAGCTGAAAATCGGTAATTGTGAAAAATGGATAAATTTACTATTTATAAAAATATATATGAAGAGTCTGACCAGTTATATCGGGTTCAGTTATCCCAATTAAAGATAAATCTTTCTTTACATATTAAATGAACATCAAACAGTATTATAAATGGCGTCACGATCCTCGAATGTTGATAATTTATCTTTATATACCAGGCCAAAATGACAAATATATGCGTTTACGGTTACTCGACCTACCCTATTTTGTTTTCAGCCAAAATGAACGTTTTTCTCTCATTTATCAAATCCTGTAACTCGGTTTTAGTGTGATTTTCTCTTGACAAATTCAACACTGAAATTTCAGTATTATTTTCAAGATCCTATAGAGATACTAGGAAGTAGAGAATACAAATAAAATAAAAAGACCGACCGACTCTATTTTTTCTGAACTAATGACCGTGAACAGGTATTTATTTTATTGGCCTTAAATGATCATATCCATGTCATCTGTAATTAATTATTATTAGATTAGACATCACCCGTGGGCTATAGTATATGATGTATTCGTCATACATGAGTGAAATCGTCTTAAAGTAGCTAAGTCTCTAACTCAATATCATCCAAAACCTTCGACAATGAAAACACGTATTATTTGTCAATTTTAATCAACATTGGTGTTGTGATCTTACAGGAAAAAGATGTGCTTCTAATATCCAATATTTAAGACAAAATAAACATTTTACGATTGGTACACGAATCGTGTACCATAATGCGTTTCAGCGCAATTTGTAACAAGCGACTTGAAGAACGAGGTTAGACATATTCCACAAGTCATGTCAAACGGTGACCCCATATTCTTATCTGGAGAACATGCGCAATAATACTATCGGTGTAGACTGGAATAACCAGACGCTAGAGATTGCCATTGGATAGACTTCTGGCGTATTTCGCCGAACATAACTGCTTTGAAATTTGAGTAAAAACGGAAACGATTAAATGTAAATCAGTTTATTTACATTCATATTACATTATTATATACGTTGCGACCCATTTGTGTCAATTTGTAGGTCCCAAATATTAGCGATTTAGCACCTTTAATCACCGGTATGTGGTGATATGTTAACTGCATAATAAAGTTCATTAAATATAACTATATAATGTTAACTTCATAATAAGAGAGAGAGAGAGAGAGAGAGAGAGAGAGAGAGAGAAATGGGTTTTAACGTCCACTCGACACAAACTAGGTCATTTCGGGACTAACATATGGTTCAATTTTATTTCCATAATTTGCTTACGCGTAGGGGTCTTTAGCAGTGGAAGGAAACCAGAGGACTCGGAGAAAACCGACGAAGTTGGACAGGCGACCCTACTCCTTGTCACGTACAACCGGGGATTCGAAACCACGCCAGTTGACTTCATAATAAAGTTTATTAAATATAACTCTATAATTATGCATTTATCCGGGTGTATAATTTTGACATTTTATTTGTCCTGCATTTATATCCCACAGTGGAGGTTTGCCGTAATGCAATACCAAACATCGTGACATAATGGTTCAGTTCTATTTAGTACTAGCAAGATACCCGACTTCGCCCTGGGCCCAAATACGATAACCTAAAACATTCACGGCGTGATGCAGCTTAATTTGATACAACATTGTTAGGGCGTGGAGAGCGGCGTCGAAGCGTGATTCGCCCGGGGCGTGCACGTAAAAGATCTCTTGACAGTTGGATTCGATATAAGAGTAGGCCGTAGTGGCAAAATTTACCACTATATCGAATTCCAACTGCCAAGGGGTCTTTTACGTGCATTCCAATGTATACACGGGACCTCGGTTTTTCGTCTCATCCGAAGGAATATACAGCTGTCCTTGTCAGGTCCTCCGTTCTGCCCCACTGACAAGGGGAAACCACGTCGGAAAATCCAGATGAACTTTCTCGGCCAATGCAGGGATCGACCTCCAGGCTAGTGAGCCAGCGTCTTAACCACCTAGCCGCCGTGGCTCCCGGGGAAGAACGGTCTAGGTGACTTTTTCAACGAACCCCAGTTAATGGCGCCATCAGGTAGCAAATTGTATAAGCTTTCTGTGGAACAATCAATTTCAGGTAAAAACGATCGGAGTTACATCGAACCAAGGCCCTTCTGAAATGTCCTCCCGGACAAATACGTCCATCGTACCCTTTATTTGACCTTAATTTGGCTGAAAAGTGGAAGTCAGTAGTTGTACTTGGTAATTATGATTCGTATTAAACATCATTTTGAAGTTGTAATTAAACCCACTCGTTGTTCTGTTTGCGTCAAGCATTTTCGTCCAAAAAACTGTTTTGCCTTTTATGCGAAAAAACAAAAATGTGACTTTGGGGGGGGGGGGGAAATAATTTATGGAGAAGGAATTGTAGAATGCCAAATAATAATTTTAATTCAGATCAAGTAAAAGGAATGAAATCACCTGCAAAGAAAATAAATAGTTTTTCAATCTGATTAAAATACAGAATAATAAATACATAAATACAATTTGATTAAAGGAGCTAAGTCTCTAACTCAATATCATCCAAAATCTTCGACATTGAAAACACGATTTATTTGTCGGTTTAAATCAATATTGATGTTGTGATCTTACCGGGAAAAGATGGGCTTCTGATATCAAATATTTAAGACAAAATAAACATTTTACAATTGGTACACGAATCGTGTACCATAATGCGTTTCAGCGCTACTTGTAATAAGGGATTCGAAAAACGAGGCTAGGCATATTCCACAAGTCATGTCAAACGGTGACGCTAAATTCTTATCTGGAGAGCATGCCCAATTAATACTATCGGCGTAGACTGGAATAACCAGACGCTAGAGATTGAAATTCTAACTGATTAGAAATTACAGTAAAAACAGAAACGATTGGATGTAAATCAATTTATATACATTCATATTACATTATTGTATGCGAGGCGACCCATTTGTGTCAATTTTTAGGTCCCAAATATTAGCGACTTAGATCCTTTAAAATACAGATCTATATTTTGTTTCGGTTTTTTATACTTTCGATGGCCAACACTACATGAAGATCTGACCGTGTTCTCTTACATTCAATTACTTTTTTGAAACGTCAGATATCCTCTCACAGTCTCACATAACTGTTGGTCTCCGAAGGAATTGTTAGTGAGCAGAAATTCGCCCATGTATCCGTTATCACTCGTCACTTTAGTCAGTTATATAGAAGGGTAACTCGTATTTTCCTTTCGTTTTCGAGTGGACGTTAAACCCCATTTCTCTCTCTCTCCTTTCGTTTTCGTCACTTCCAGTTGTTGAAACCTTCATTACACATCTATTGTAGCAATGATCTCTGTGTTAAAATTATTCTTGGAATGTGTTTAACCTGTTCTCTCACATATGTGATAATGACTGACATCAATATTGTCCTTTAAAGCGAGAGTTTCAAATTTTCTAAGAAAGTCAAAACATAATTATTTCTATGTCTTTTGCTCAATAGGTTATCAAATCACTATTATACGATCATAGGCATTATTTCCCACCCTTAAAAATCTATGACACAGGAAATTACAACACAATTACCTCCCCTGTTTTGCTATTGACAACATGGGGCAGCTATTTTCCAACGTTGGAATTTGAAGTTAAAAATGATATTTTTGCCAATTTCTCAGCTGGCAATAACGAATTATAGGATTATTCTTTAACAAGGTAGAACTGTTTATTGATACCATCTATTTTAAGGCTTTATTTTAATACATTTTAAAAATATAACTTGAAAATTTGCAATTGCAACTTTAAGAATGGTGAAGGGTTAACTGTGCAATTCTGAATAACTAACTTTGATATGATTCACAGTGCCAGCATACCATACTTTAAAATACTTACATTGTAGTAATATTAACATGTGACCCGGTTGCCATTCACAAAGTATTTTGCTTGACAGGGTTCGTTTCCACAATAATTCGCCCTGTAAGTAAAACCAAACAATATAGTTTAAAGTAGCTAAGTCTCTAACTCAATATCATCCAAAGTCTTACACGTTGAAAACACGAATTATTCGTCAATTCAAATCAACATTGATGTTGATATCTCAGCGGGAAAAGGTAGGCTTCTGATGTCCAATATTTAAGACAAAATAAACATTTAACCATTGGTACAGGAATCGTGTACCATAGTGCGTTTTATCGTCATTAGTAACAAGTGACCAGAAACAGCGAGGCTAGACATATTCCACAACTCATGTCATGCGGCGATGCCACAACTTATCTGGAGAGCACGCGTAATGGACTGGAATAACCAGACGCTACAATCACATTACATTATTATATACGTTGCGACCCCTTTCGGTCAATTTCTAGTTCCCAAATATTAGCGATTTAGCTCCTTTAGTGTTCAACCATGGCCATTTCTAGCGTTAGCAAAAAGGGACGAATGGTATTGTTCTTAGGGTTTAACGCCCGCTTCCACCAAAGGTGATATCGCAGATAAGTCTTATTTTATGTTCACCCAGGGCCATTTCTAGCGCCTTCTTGGCTTCGCTTCTCCCTCAGTAACGCTTTAGCAAAAAGGGACGAATGGTAATGTTCTTAGGGTTTAACGCCCGCTTCCACCAAAGGTGATATCGCAGATAAGTCTTATTTTATTATATTTAGCGCATGCGTAGGGGTCTTTCTTGTAGGAGGAAACCGGAGTACCGGAAGAAACACACGAGTTTGAAAAGGTGCACATACCCTGACAATAGGGCTCGAAACTACAACCGTGGGCTAGAGGTGACGGACCAGCTAGAGTTAAAAGCGCGACACTCTTTTGACCACTATGTCATCCCAACCACAAAGAAGCGAATGGGCGCTTATCAACTTTTGTACCAATCGCATTTCGCGTGCATTACGGAAGAAGCCAAGGGAAGTAACTGTCTTTAGACTGAAATGTAGTGGAGTAAATAATCTAACAACAAAATAGAAAGAAAATATCAGAATAATTTCAATCAGACTGGATAGCTCTCCATGGATTCGCAAGAAAAGGGTTGGAGTGCTT